CGCAGGCCGGATTCAAACCTGCACAATGACTCTATGTCTTTAATAAGAGTCTTTACCACAGTTACTGACATCATAGACCAGTATAACCTTTATATTCAGCATGGGAAGTTATCACATAGCTGTTTGCTCACAGGAAACCAGGTTGCTCCTCAGATAAGGGCTATGCAGGTGATCATTTTAATAACAGCATCAGTTTTCTTGCCTTCCGTTGCACTAAATCTGACCACAGTGCCCTAAGAAATAATTTAACACTGATTTACTATATCGTGGGGAGGAAGTGCAGCCTCGGTCTGTTTTCATTCTACTGCAGATCAATAAAAACACAAATCTATAGAGACAATACCGTATATAAATAGCCAGTGTTCTTTTTGTGAATATAAAGAGGGTCACATTATCCTGTTAAATGGTAAACAGCAACAGAGGGCAAACATAAATCAGACGTTTATGGTCGACAAGCTCTGCTGTTCAACAGCGTTGTAAAGAAGATGTAGGGCACACACAATTCACACATGCTTGGATGTTTCTTAGACCAAGTAATATGGCTTTCTCTAGGTACGTTAACAAAGACTGTTTCATTAGACACAGAGTTGCACAACCAGGCAATAATAAAGTGGCTTTTATGACTACAAAACTGTGATCTCCAGGTCAGAAGAACAGCATGGATTCATAATTGAAAAGTCATTCGTTCGCTCAGGTACTGGGGGCTTATGAAATAAAGTAAGTCTCATCTCATTCATACAGATCTAGCAATTATAATCATGACAATAATCTACATCTGAACATAATGTTCTAGGGAGTAAACACTGAATTTATATAGCCTATCCAAATCGACTTATTTAAAACAAAAAGAATACATTTACACATTATATTATTATCATCATTATTATTAATTGAAAATAATATGTATAATAATCTTAGGTGACACTTAAGAGGGTACAATTCTCACTATTAACTATTATTTTTGCTTTAATTAGAGCTTATTAATAGTTAGTAAGGTACATTTAGGTTTAGGGATGTAGATTATGGCCATGCAGAATAAAAGGCATTAATAGGTGCTTTATAAGTAAAGCTAAAAATAGGCATAAGCAACTGGTTAATATAGTGAGAACTGGACCCTAAACTAAAGTGTCGCCTAATTTTATTATTATATGTATATTACATTCATAAAAATCAACATTTTCCACTCATGCTTGATCACATTCAGTTTAGATAAACTGCTTCCCTTGCACTTCCGAACAGAAAGTTGTCATTACGCAGCGGTGACCCAGCAAAAGCACTCTCTATCTCCAGTCTTACCTTCCGTGTGACAGCTCGAGGAGAGCAGGGTGCTCGGGGGTCGGAAGAGGTAAGGCAGGTACCGGGAGAAACATTTCATCTTTCTTTCGTTTTCCTTTGGGAGGGTCCTTTCCCACCATCCGCGCTGCGATGACAGCAGAACCGGACCGGAGGAGGGATGATACTGATGCTGATGCCCCCTGGGTTCGTGTGGAGTCACGGCAGCATCCTAAACGCTTCTCACGCGTGTGTCAAGAAGACGTGATGTGTGCATCCTCGCAGTTCACCATGTTTTCCTTCCAGAAGGAAGGAGGGTTGAGATGTTTTCCTGAGCTTCGGTTGGGAGGGGCAGTTACTCTACACGGACATTACCCTATGAGCAGGAATATACTGCGCACAGCCCGACTCATCATCAGGCTTTATTATAGATGCGCTCAAAGCATGACATGAAATCACCCTCATGCTTGAGAGAGTGACAGGAAACTTTTTGCTGTTCAATTTAAATCTGTCCAACAGCGCCATCTCATGGTTGGCATGTATACCGCCATGACATCCTATTGAAATGTCTTGGCAATGTTCTGTTTAACAATCAAATGTTTCGTTTTTGGCTAAACAAACATAAAGATAACGTAGCCTAGACACAAAACGCCATCAGAGTAACACTATCATAATGCCGAAAAACATAAAAAAATGTAATGTAAAACATCCTAGGGTAGGAGTTTAAATAAAATAATCTGAGAACTTACTGTTTTTCAGTCAGTACATTAAAATGTTATTTCTACAATATAGTGATACTATTAAAAAAAGCAAAATCCGGTAGTTAAGGACATTTTCTTTAACCCTAAACCGCAACACGATGCAACGCATGTTTCAAAATACAGAGGGAAAAAACAATGGGCTTTGGCAGCTTGTTCTCATCCCAAGGCGTCATATATGACGCTTTCTACATCCAACGCACATGGCGTCAATATGAGACGCAGATATATGCAGGCGCCTCCTAGTGGTCTAACCCTGTTATATTGACGCTAAAGGGTGCCATGTGCATTGGCAGTCTAAGCTTCGGCAAAAGCGTCGTATTTGACGCCTTGGAATGACAATGTGTTGGCTACGGACAATTCCTTTACGCACACATTGGGTCCTATATTAACAACGTGCAACTTCAAAGGTTTTAACATTATTTTACTGCAAAAGTATGTAAGTTATAGAAGAAAATATGTTGGAAACTATAATACAGTGCATATTCACTGTAAATAATTTGATTATTGATACTCCTTGAACCAGGCCTGGCCAATGCCTACAATCTCAGTAGACCAGAATGACAAACAACATTACAAGTTCCTTTTAAATGACAAATTGCCGTTGTTTATGCAGAGTAAATTGCATCCTGTTTGTTCTGTTTAATGGTGTCACACTCTTCTGAGTAACATAAACCTTCACAATCATACTCAACCATCTAAAAGTAAGAGTAACCGTCTCTTATGAAACACCAGCCATCTCAAATGACCACCTCAAACAGAAACGTATGTCATAATTCTGATGCTGAACTAACATTTAGCTAAGTGTTTGTTTATTTATTTATTTAGACAAATGCCACCCGGACCCCCCAAGGCAAATGTGAAGGCTTATGATATTTTGTGACGGAAATCACACACTGAGTAGTCAGCGAGAATGGCCAGAGCCTCTGAGAACAGGTGCCATCTGTGCTGGTCCCCTGGGTATCAGCATATCATCAAAATATCAAAGAGTTCACTCTCACCAACCAACCACCTCTGTCTCTCTCTCTCCTCCTACTCTCTCTGACACAGGCTGCCTGACTCACTGTTGGGAACTCACGCTGATATCTTTTTTAAAGACAGCACTAATACCTTAATGAATATTTATGACTATGAGCCACAAGAGCTTCTAAATATAGATTGACAGTCCTGGGTATACTGAATCTGAAAGGCTGAAATGTAGTCGTCACAGATATGTGTTGATATAGTACAAAGCAGGACTTCCCAATATGCAATTCACTGAGATGTGCAACGTTTCTGTGAATTATTCTGCTTGCCGCTCGGTTAAATTAGTCTACTACACTAATTCACTGGCATTCTTCAAATTATAAGTGTAGCTGTTTTATTGATTAGGCCTAATTTGCTTTATATTCTGGCTCAAGTCAATATACTCATCAGTGGTGATATCTTGAGTAGACTATTTCTGCTTCACTAGTATATTGTTGTCACCTCACCCTCTTCTTGATAAATATATTATATATTATGAACTCAACAGGTTGTTTAGCAGGGAAAAGTCTCTCTGAAAAATAAAGATAAAATGAAATACTAGTAGCCTAAGCCAGTCTCTTTGAGCAGGTTTTCAACAGTTCAATAGTCCAGGAGGCCATAATTGGGGCATCTCCATAAAAAAAGTGTTATAAGCATTCATTACAAGGAAAAAAAAAAAATCTACATGAAGTTTTGAGGAAAAAAAGTAACATCTAAATGTTTCTCTTCATTTACATCTAACTGTACACTATGGATAGGGGGGGAAATTAATAAGAGTAGGCTATTTATTATTTTAATTATTTACCTTTAGTAGTGACAATGTAAAAGTCATTTATTTTAGAAAAGGCTAGTATTATAATATATTTCCCCCTAACAAAACACATCTATCTACTCCATCCATCCAGATGTTTGTCATACCTTCTGCTGCGGTCACCTCCGACGGACCCTTCACCTGGACGAAACACCAGGTTCGTTCACCTGGACCTCGTCCTTTACGCATTTAATCAAATCAGACAACAGTAGGCTATTAGTCAGACTTAAAATAATATTTTTCATCTGAATATCATCGGTCATCTTATCAGCCAAACACATACCGGGCATGGTGCGTCCTCCTCTCCTCTCCTCCTGTATATTTTCCTGTCTAACTGTTCTCGCTGATCACTGGTGTGATGGAGTGTTAGATTCGCTTACGTCCTGCTGATGGCGCACATGAGCACAAACCGAAACGCTAGGCTGGTGTGTGATGTTGTTAGTAGCCTATCAGTTTGTTTTTAAGACGTCTTTGACGTTTTAATTAGCCTACATTTATGTATTTTCCTCATTATATTGTCAAGAACTTATCTTGCAGTCACCTGAATCATGAAATAATAGTGTAAATGTTTAGAAAATGGCAAAAGAAATGTATCAGAAACATAACGACCTCAATATAATTTGACATTTTGTGCTACAACAATTAGCAAATGTCTCTAATTATTTCCTACCATTTAAGTAGGTGATGCATCATCGTCCTGACCTGCACATGCAATATCTAAATATTGGCCTAGTATTGAAAATGGTCTAGACTATTTGAAGACATGTCAACATTAAATTCTCTTTATTTCAGAAAGACACACTTTACAATTCCATAACATTTGCAATTAGCTAAATTACTCTCCAAACTGTCAACTTTTTTACATAGCCTATTACATGTTTTCTCAGTAGGCTATTTCACAGATCATCCTTGAAATTTGCAAAACAGTGAGTGAATTTCTCAAAACAATTCATTGCAAAACACCATGGATTACCCCAGTCTCTTGCTCAAAATCCTTAATCCATCTCTCAAAAGTAAATATATGCGTCAATGAACATCAGAATGACAAGTCCTTGTGCCTGGAATAAAATACAACCAACAGAACATATAAAACTGAATCAAAAAGTTAAACAAACATCTTTAAGATTTTTTCTTTACATGTGAAATAAAGAAAACAGTTACAAACTGAAACAGGAAGTGTTTCTGGGCCAGTGTTTACATCTTGCAAAATGGTCAGTCAAGTTGTCAATATAACAGTCTACACTGGAGGGATCATGTTCTGATGTAAAATATTGATATTTTGATGAGAATATATTGTTAATTGTGGGAGTTTGATTGCAAGAGACAGGACAAGATTCACGCTTTTACTGTTTTACTGTAATTTGTTGACAGACAATGTCATTGCAATGCAGAAAGGAAAGAAATGTGAACAGGACAATCTCCTTTATAGGGAAACCTGTACAACATGCATATTATGACAACATGTTCAACCATTTTGCATGTAAAGACTTAGAAACTAATGCCTAAATGTTGTGGGGGTGAGACAATTCAACAGAGACCCATTATAATACATTTTGATCAAAGTGACATAAGCAATTAATAATGTAAGGGACAGCAGAGAATTGTTCGTAATCATTTGCATGGATGTACCAAAGCAAAGAAATGAGAAACTGCTTTTTGATATGCACAAGTGACACAATGATGTGAAGATTGAAAAGGTATACAGTTTTGAGAAAAACTGTAAAAACTGCCCAAATATCTTTAAAAAATTTTTAGCCTGCAATGTCACAGTGCAAGTAATGACATTAAATGTTCAAAATCTTAAATAAAATGTGCACTCACATGTATTTATTGAGCTCACTAAATGTATTCTTCACTATTTGTTACATGGAAAATCATATATGCCAAATTGGATCCGGATTCATTTGCAGTAGGCTATAAAACAGGTTGAAACGTGAAGGTCCCTCCAATGCACTCAGCTAGCCCACGATGCACGTGCACCCCACGGCGATGCTCTCCACCACGGTTCTGTAACGGGGAACGCATGTCTTCTTCTTCGTCGGCTTCTTCGTAGGCCGGTGGCAGAGGAGTCTGCGCACGGGGATCTTGGTGTAGATGAGGGCGCTGGTCATGGTGCGATCCTCCTGCATGGTGAAAGGATTGATGCATCCCACACACGAACACACGGCCTCTGGGATGTCCACGGGCTTACGGTTGTCGTCGTGATTGATTCTAGCCAAAGACATTCAAGTACGTCTGGTCAATATTTTCTGTTAAACGTTTTCTAAAAGTTAAACTTTAGTTTGCTACTTTTCAAAATGGGACATTTTGACCACATTTGAATTGGGTGTGCAGCGCACACACACACACACACACACACACACACACACACAAAATGTTGTGTGGTTGTAAGGAATGCTTCAGTATAGGCTACATTGAAAACCCTAAGCAATGCTCAAAATTAAATTATACATTACAATATGCAACATCTGCATGCATTGAAGATAAACTCGATTGACTTCAGGATTCAGTGGAACAGCTCATTTGCTGTAAGGCCATCTAGTGGCTAGAATTATGAAATTATAGAATTATTAGAACTATGTGTTATATTATTTTTTCCCCAAAAGTCGGCAGAAACACCCGAATTGACCCAATATTAAGATATTTTAAGCTGATTTGAACTGGTTATTGCATGTATTGGAGATTTATTTTGAATTTAATTTGAAAGAATTTGGAGAATCTGCTTAAATTATAAATAACTATACATTTAAAGGTACATGCAATACAAAATAAAATAAAAAACTTTAAAAAATGCATTAAAAATAGAAAGAATATTATAAAAATGAAATGATACAAGCTTTCTACACATTTAAAAAAAAATTTTAGGGCTTCAGGTCATTTTGACCTGGCTGGAAGGATTTGTAGGATTCGAGGAGAGGCCGAATTAAAAGTTTTTGATAGAAGTTTCTTATGCCCACCAAAGGCTGCATTTATTTGATCAAAAATATGCAAATATACAATTTAAAATGACTGTTTTCTATTTTAATACATTTTTAAAAATGTCATTTTCATTTATGATGGCAAAAGCTGCGGTCAGCATTTGAAAGTAAATAATAACTAATTTTATTCAGCATTAAATTGATTGAAACTGACATTTAAAGTGTTTATAATGTTACAAAAAAGGTATAATTCAAATAAATGCTGTTCTTTTGAGCTTTCTAGAAGTCCTGAAACACTGAAGACTGTAGTAGGGACTGCTAATGAAATGGCTTTCTTCATATATTCTGCATGAATTGTAGTTTAGTGTTTTTTCATAACTCAAAAAAATATGAATATGATACTTTAATGTAACAAGTGTTTATTATTATTATTATTATTATTATTATTACTAAACAGGGCTTTGAGATCTCTAAATCTTCAACCAGAACATAAGAGTTAAATACTAATGATAAATAATAATAATAACAATGACCTCCACTTCACCTACCTGTAGGACCAGGGAGAGAGGCTGCGACTATTGGACATCCACATTTTGCGGTCCACCACACATTTGCTTATGGTTAAGTTGGGATCATTTCTGACCTGGGACACCATGTCCTCGATACTCTTATCAAAGTCTGTTTCAACAGCACCAGGCATCACGCCTGATTCTGGACCAGTCATCATTGGATCTGGGGAAATTTTGACAGATGACCCTTTCCGGCGAGGATGTGATTCCAGTTTTCGTCTCCGAGACTTTCCTTCTTTACTGGTGTGCTTTGTGTCAGTGGTCACAAACAGATTCCACACCATCAGGACCAGGAACACCTGCAATATGGAGTGCTGAAGGTTTAATTGAATCATAATGATTTATTAAGTAAAGAAATGTTTTTAAGGAAAGAAATGACTTTTCTGAAACTCACCATATTCCATATGTTTTTCCACATTGTTTTCTAAAAGAGCGCAATAAGTTGTCACATTTGTGTCCTTGCTGGGAATGAACTGAGCAAGGGATTACTCATTCTGAAGTGTCACGCCTCACACACTGACACAGTAGCCTACAGGGACACACCTGAAGCCAACAGTTCAAGGTGGGGCCATGCCACCGCTCCAAAACATCCGATAGATAGATAGACAGACAGACAGACAAACAGACAGACAAACAGATAGATAGATAGATAGATAGACAGACAGACAGACAGACAGACAGACAGACAGACAGATAGATAGATAGATAGACAGATAAATAGATAGATAGACAGACAAACAAACAGATAGATAGATAGATAGATAGACAGACAGACAGACAAACAGATAAATAGATAGATAGACAGACAGACAAACAGATAGATATAGATAGACAGACAGACAGATAGATAGATAGATAGATAGATAGATAGATAGACAGACAAACAAACAGATAGATAGACAGACAGACTAACAGATAGATAGATAAATCCCTAATCAATTAAAAGAATGTATTATTACGAATTTACAGGTGCATGAGTTTTCAATAGGATTTTGGTCAATTTCACAGAACACTGTAACCTTTGTTGTTTTCACGTGTGTCTATTGAATCGTGCGCACTCAAAAGACCCTTTTTATTCTTAAGTCCCAGTGAGAACAAACGACCAGACAGAGCTTTATGAGCCTTACACTCATTCTGGGAACCAAACTACTGCCTAAAGAAACTGTCTGCAGACACAGATTTGGTCAATCCATGTTTTGCCCTGATCTGGCTCATTCAATGCTATACTGATTTTCACAATGGCCTCTATTGAGTGGTGTAAAAGAACACCTGCTCTTGTGACATGTCGGGGCAGTGTTAGACCTGGAGTTTCAAAGAGAACACTTGTGGCAAACTATGTTTTGCTATTTTTAAGGGTTTGCTGGAGAAAAGCCAAAACAAGTGCTTAATATTGTGTTGAATAAAAACTGTTTTCAATTTCACTGACGATTATATCATTCTAATGAAATGAAGTGACTCAGATTTGCCTTCTTTTATTCTTCTGTACCTTTTGACAAAAGAAATTTTTTGTTTAAGTTAAAGCACCTGTGACACTTTACAAGAAATTATGATGTTTTACATTTGGACTATAGCTGTTTATCTATAATAATTCTAATGATATAACATACAAATATTGATATTTCTGCAGATTTTGCAGATTTTTACCTTGACTTGGTTCTGTGAATATGGGAATTCAAATTGTAAAATAGGCTTATCTAAATCAATTTGGAACAAGTCTGTAAAAATGTGTTACTTTGCTAAGAAAATATGACTAATAGGCCTATTTTATGACTAATAAAAATAACAAGTTAAAAAAAAATAATGAAAAAGACAAGGGGCAAAACTTTATATTTAAGAGCAATAACTCTGGTAGTTCATTGCATCTTTGGATTGGCAATTAAGTGCTGGAAATTCCAGTTTAAGTTGTGTTTGTGGAATATGGGAGCTAGTTTCTAGAGCATCTTGAAACAGCAACATAATTAAGCTGGTTTTGGGACACTGGTTGGTCCACTAACGACTTGGTCCAGCTAATATCCATATTCCAAGCTACCATATTCCAAAACATGGCATAAACTGGAGGGCAATTATACTTTTATTTGGACATGAAGAGCTGAGCTCTGACAATTTGCACTTTTACCTTGCAAATTATCTTCGAAAATATTTTATTAAAAGGGCTAGTAACTGACGGTTAATTTAATCTATAACCAATCCGAGTTTTTATTTAAGATATATATTTAAATTAATGTTGTCAATCAGATCAGATTTATTAAAAATCGAGTCAACACCTAAGAGATGCACTTTTATCTGTAAAGCGTTGTCATCATATTTTATACTTTTATATCGGGTGTTTTTCTTTCTTTCTAATGTTAGCCCTTTTGGCTATTCATAAAAAAAAACAGGTAGTTACTTTGAAATCCCATTCTGTCCATGATGATCTCGCGAGGTTTGCGCTACAACTAATTCTGACGGAAGTAGTTCTAGAGTCTCTTTTCCGGCGGCCATAGAGACAAGTCGGCAGGGTAAGCCAAGATTGCTAAAGCATTTCTCAAACATCCTTTGCCATCCTCGTGGATTTTATGTCTTCAAAGTTTAAAACACACATTATCGCTATATAATATCAATATGTTCAATTTGTCCGGGATATTTTACACCCGCAGTACAACATTATGGATGATTTTGCCTCCAAAGTTCAGCCAGTTGCTAATGTAGGAGCACTGTACTCCCGTGTGAATAACGTTACCTTTACTTTGCCCATAACACATGGCTATGTTTTCTGTTTATGGCTGAAATACGCTGTTTAATCGTGTCGCGTTTAAACACTCGAAGCACAATACAATAATGAAATTTAGGGATGTATGTGTATCGTCATGTCAGTCAAGTTGAAATAACAGTGTAGCATTAGCACGAGCTGTTGAAATACACCGTGTTATCAAGACACGAATTCACAAGCTTCGAGTGCATTGTTTTGTGTTAGAATTTCAGATTTGTTCAGAGAGATGTGCTAAGCTGAATTAAACCCAAAACGAGTGTCAAATGCTGCTTGACAGTCAGTTTTATTCTTAAACAAATGCTGTAAATCTTAAAATCTGTCTTGAATGTGTCTTATTTGTCACATACATTGTATAAGTTTACGTTTTTCCATATAGCATTTAGAATTGAAGTTGAATTTGACTTGTCCTCTTCCATTACCAGCCATCATGAAGCTCAATAAATTTGTGACATCCTCCCGGCGTAAGAACCGCAAGAGGCACTTCAATGCCCCTTCACACATCCGCAGGAAGATCATGTCCTCCCCTCTGTCCAAAGAGCTTCGCCAGAAGTACAACGTAAGATCCATGCCCATCCGCAAGGACGATGAGGTCCAGGTGAGGACGTTATTTGGTTTTTCTGGCTGATGTATTAATGCAGTCTCATGTATTGGAATGTCATTACGTCTCTAAGTATGTTTCCATATCGTTCCTTGCTTTCTTTGCCCTCATCACCAGGTTGTCCGGGGACACTACAAAGGCCAGCAGATTGGCAAAGTTGTCCAGGTCTACAGAAAGAAGTACGTCATTTACATCGAGCGTGTGCAGCGTGAGAAGGCCAACGGCACCACAGTCCATGTTGGCATCCACCCCAGCAAGGTGTGTATTATATTCAGATAATTGTTTACATGCAAGACAAGAGTGGCATTGGAAAAAAAAGTACTAGTGGTTGTCCTATATCCAAAGGGCAGGATGGCAGATATATTCTAAATCAATTGTACACGCGTATTGATCAGCGTGAAGTGACGCTAAAACTTTACTCGCCTCGAGTTCCAAAACTGGCATGTAAAGAAGAGGCCTAGCCACGACCTTGTCCATATTCACCTGTTTTTTTTTTTTTTTTTCAGCACAATTAAAAGCTACAAATTGCTATAGTGCGATTCATCTTGCTCTATTAGTTTACCACTAGAGCATGCTGGTTACATTTTATTCTTCTATACCAACTTGAGTCGTAGCCTACGATTCAAAGGTTTAATATTCGTACAGTCTACATACATGTGCATTGCACAAATTTATTCAAGCTGTACAGTGTGATTTGTAATGATCTTTTAGGATTGGTGAAATAGCACAGTCTGCAGCAGGCATTAGGCAAGTGAGTGTCAAGACATTGTTGTGATGCATGAGCCGCTCCTCTTACACAAGTCACTTTCTAGCCAAACATCTTTCTATCGGACAACGTGGTGAATTGACGTAACCAACTTGAAAATGAGTGACCTATGTGAGCTTTTTTTTCTGAAATGACTGAATTTCAAGCGAATGTAAACTTGACCACCTTAATGTAACTGGGCAATCTGGTTATCAACTAATGCCACAAATCTATAAAAATATTGAATCTAATATATATTTATATAATCAATTAGACCTGCATTGGAGGCTTGTCAATAGTGATGAAACAAATACTTAGCAAAACTTAAACGTAAACATACAGATTACTAATCTGCATTAAATAAACAGCACGCTAAAACATTAGGGCCCTATGATTTTCGCAATAACGAAATCACGGACGGAATCGTGGAATCTCTTAGCATGGATTTTTACATATTTGGTTTGAAATTCTGTTTTTTTTTTTTTGTGGGAGATGAACCAGGGGAAGCAAATCCGGGTGACACAAACCCCTCAACCCGTCATTTCAGCTCCAATGATGAAATCAAATCAATGAAAGCATGGCGAAGCGGCTCTCCACGGCGCTGCTTTCGTCGGCTAAAGGTTAAGAAACTCGACTCTATAAGCCGTCAGTGCCGAGCCGAGCAGTTCGCACGTGACTTATGCAGTGTTTCCCACACGTTGACTTAATTCGCCACCACATACTGCGTTTTGGTTTTTAACACTATTTAAAACACGCAGCGTATTCTTTCAGTTGTTTCCCGCTCTCCCTTCGTCTCTCTCTCACTCACACACACAACGTGCACACCGCGTCTGTCTATGAGGCGCCGGACTGGACAAAAGCGACGCGAACTCCTTGAGAGACAGAGTGTGACTTTGTTTAAACTTGCATAAACTAATATAATTTATATTACAGTTTAAAGCTCATAACCATATTTTGTTGTTACTTGAAGAGTGCAGTGTTATGTTGCATCATGCAGTATTTGTCCTGAAAAGGCTCCTGAGTAAATGTCTGTATTACTTACCTCATTAAGGTCATTCCTAATTTATTTGTATTTTTTAATACATTTTAATCATTAACTTTAAAAGCATACTATTTTTACAACTAAAATAACAGTCAAGGCTAAAAAAAAAACGTAATTCCCAAAAATTAAAACGGAAAAAAACGGAATTTGGGAAAAAATAAAACGGATTTCATAGGGCCCTAAAACATGTATTCAGTCATTTAACACAATCACAGATGAAGTCTGGAGCTAGTTTTATTGCATCAAAACAAGCTGTGTTCTGGTGAATTTGAGTAACAATTGTCACTCATGAACGACTAAACATTTCTGACATTTGTCCAGTATTAATGAACAGACACTGACTTCAATATTACTTAATTGTTTAGAGCTACTGGCTAATGGTTTAAAGTTTTGCATGTCATCAGGGGTTACTTGTATATGAGAAATGAAGCATCTGATTGTTCTGCTTGAGTGTCACCAATCTGCCAATCTGGATCGCATTTCATTTACTGTAGTAGAATTAGTTACTTAAAGGGTAACTGCTGATTTTCAACCAGCTTTGTATTGTTACAATGGTAGTAGTTCCCGTTTAATTCCACATTTGATTATCAAGAGTGCTTTTGACAGATCTGGGGCTTTTGTAAAAACTACAGATCATACTTTTGCATTATTGTTTCCCCGCTCATTCATAGATAGTCATATCATGTCCAGTGCACTGGTTGTTGCATTTTTCCTGCCTTTTTGACTTTTTGTGATGTCTATAGTCAAGTAGCACTAAATTTGGGCTATTCTACTACAGCATAGACAGTCAAGTTTTAATAAAAGCCCACCTTGAGGAGAATTAAATGCTGTTTTTTTTCCTTCAAATCTGACGTATGCATTAATTTATGATCAACTGCATACGTTTTATATATTTCATGCTGTTTTATGTTGATGGGAATGTTCACAAAATGAATCTTTTTGTTCAGGTGGTGATCACCAGGCTAAAGCTTGACAAGGATCGCAAGAAGATTCTTGAGCGCAAAGCCAAGTCCCGACAGGACATTAAGGAGAAGGGCAAATACAAGGAGGAGACCATCGAGAAAATGCAGGAGTGAAATGACTTTTTGCTAACAATAAAAGACTGTAAAACCTGACATTTCTGTGCTTCTCTTTTATATAAAAGTGTTTGCTTTGGTGTGAATTGAACTTGAAGTGAAAGAATTTGGATTTAAGCTCAACCTGATGTTTTCATTAAAAAATTATATAAAATCACAGTTTGAGAAATAGCTGATTTCTTAATAAAAATGAGACAAAAGTTGGGAAACTTTAAAACTGCTTCACAGATAGGCAACTGCTTATACTTCCTCTTTGACCACTTGTTTAACTGATGGGTTTTGCCACCGTCTTTGTCATGGTGAGCGGAAGCTGTATAATATATAGTAAATGGGTTTCCATTGCTGTTTAAAACCTGGAAATATATGGGAATTTTGTTGAAAATTTTTTATTTCCAGGCATTGAATTGACATGGAAGTCTTTATAGTAACTATTTGATTTGAAATCAATTATTTTAATTTGTCCACTCAAATGTTTCAACTATTTTGTTTTGAAGTTCAGTTTTAATTATTTTAGTGCAGGTAAAACTATGAAAGTGAGTAATGTTGCATTGGCAACTTGCAGGAAGTTATATATTTTACTTTTATTTCAACGAATTGTAAACTTTTAGTGGAGTATAAGCCTGTCTCACAGAGCTGCACTAATTTGTTTTAACAATGCAAGAAGTCAGCTGATGACATTTTAAATAATTCATACCTGTTAAAGGTTTCGGGTGGTGTGACGTGTTAATTAAATATGTGCATGGCACATATTCTACAAAATGCACATTGTGATTGTGTATCAGGAAAACATCGCTAGTATCAAAAGAAGGATGTATATGTTTAGTGTGATCGAGTGTAGAGGAAGAGGTGAGACATCATCAGTCATATGTCTGTTCCCTTCAGGGCCCGACGAGTCACATGACCATCGACGTCCACACAGCAGTGGAGTGCGCGAGCGCTGTGGAGTCTACGAAGTTTATTTTATAGAAAATAAGTCGATAAACTCGACCTAAAAAGAAATATAATGGCGACTACATCGTTTGCGATATCCGTGTCAGTTATGACTGTGTTTTGGGGTCTAATTGGTGGAGTTATTCCCTGGTTTATTCCTAAAGGACCGAATCGAGGGTGAGCAACATTAGCATTACAAAGTTTTCTGTACTACACCATCTGTATTAACCTCTATCTGTTTGTATTTAGCGATATGTTTGAAATGTTAAAAACCTGGCAAACTAAAAAAAATGTTCGTAAACAATACAGTTGATCATTAATTAGTTATTCTTTTTTACTTTACGAAAACCAAGTGAGCGTCAGAAAGTTTGTGATTTGACTAGCATGGCAGTAGGAAATGCATTCAATTCAAATAATGTATTTAGTACATATGAACATTCAATATGTTGAGAAATGTTTAAGTTTTTTAACATGAAGACATGTATGACTTGATCATGTGACCGTGCCAAGTGACGAGGCTGATATAAAGAAAAAAATATATATTTTACACATTCACAGTATTTTTTTAAGTGTTTTATATCTGTATTTTGCTCTTCAGAGTCATTGTGACGATGCTGGTACTAACTGCAGTCTGTTGCTACCTTTTGTAAGTACATTACCTTTAAATTGTCTTCGTTATAACGTACCAGAGAGAATGGTAGCTGCTGTTTAATGTAATCAAATAAAGATTGTTCTGTTTCAGTTGAAAGTCAATTACAGCCTTCGGGCAATGCCAGTATTGATTAAAAAAGAAATACAACGCATCCAGGCCAATGTGTAGTGACCTCCAGTTTAATAAATACACTTACAAATAAGTGTAAATAGTATTTCACAAATGTATGATGTATTAAATAAGCTTATACACTCGGCACTGTGCATGTTTGATGTGAATTATTTATTATTTTGAAGAAATATGATCGTGTTTGTTATCCAACAGCCACTAGGGGGCAGTGCATACTACTTTTTTGCTGTATATTTGTTCCTTAATCCAGTCTCTCTTGGCAGTATTTTCATATGACTGCCATATTGTTCACTTTGTACTTTTGGTTTAATTTCAGCTGGCTGATTGCTATTCTATCACAGCTGAATCCGTTGTTTGGACCAGTACTGAGCAACGATACCATCTGGTACCTCTACCACCACTGGGGGTAGGGTCCAATGGTTCTTTTACAGCACAGCAGGTTAGCAGATCATCCTGAAAATGCACTTAATTTTATTTAATAAATCAATAAACCCTCACTTCCAGTTCCAGTCATTTTGCCCCAGAGAGGTTTTTCTTATTCACCAAAAATGCTAGACTAAAATTTACTTACTTAGGTCCTATTTTTATTTTTGTGTGTGGTAATTTCTTTAAACCCCCTTGTTACACTAGTCACGTTCCTGGTCAAAAATGACCGGCCTACTGCTTATAAATCTCTCATTATGCTGTTATTGCCACATGTAGAATTCAACCTTTTAATCAACTTGTTTTCTTTCAGTTAGGACAGGTTAAATAGTTTGCCGTCTAACCATTCGCAGATGCCGGAAGCTTGTACATTGCCAAAACGGAGACATCACACTATCAGGAAAACTCCTTGTGATTTGAAGCTTTACATGCTATTGTCTTACTCAAAGAATGACTACCATATGACTGTTTGTGGTGTTTCTTTTTTATTTATTTGTTTTAATGTTCAAGGAAATAATATGCAATTAAACCTTTTTTTTTTTTTTTTTGTCTGTGTATAGTTTAAGTCGAATTACCTGATTATTGCTGGACAAATTAACCCGTCCCATTTATATATGTATGATTTTTGTATGTGAAATAAAATTAAGAATGCAGAAAAATTGAAGATTTGCATTGCGTCCAATTTTAAAAGCAATACTGAATTGGTACAACATTTATTAAAGCATGATTAGATTTCTTTAAAAATCACACAGTTACAGGTCATATGAGGTGATTTTCAGTTTGTCATAGTGTATCTTTGGGGATTCTGGGTCGTGACATTGTGCATTCGCACTCCTCTCGACGAGGAAGGCCGTCAGAGGAGACGTCACTGTGGTTTTGCTCTTTGGCTTGGCATACAGGACAGCAGGCCGTCAGCCCTCTCTCTCTACAGGTGGCACACGACAGCACCAGCTGACAGCAGAAGTCTGTGGAGCACAGCTGATATCGATCGCACGGGACACTGCAATATCTGCACTCTGGGGAAAGGAGAAGTAAAAGTTAAGTTTGTCTCTCGATATATAACGTTTTTTTTTTTTTTTTAAACAGTACACACCTGAGATGATGTCCTCATTGAATGCGATTGCATAACGTTCATCAAACACAAAGAGTTTACCACGGTAAAAGCCGTCGGGGAACTGCTCAAGGTATTTGTGAATGCCTCCCTTCAGCTGGTAAACCTCCTTGCATATGTTCTAAAGAAAAAACATTCATGATTGAGGATGCCATTACAGGGATGTGCATGTTTAGTCTCTCCCCCCCCCCGCCCCCCGCATTCAGACTCACTTTTGATCTGAGATAGGCCGAGCCTCGTTCACAGCGGATGCCCCCTGTACAGTACATCAGAACCTTTTTGTCCCGAAAAAGATCCAAATTCTTGTCCACGTAGTCTGGGAAGTAGCTGAATTTCCGGATGTCGGGGGCCAAACACTGATCGAACTGACCCTGAGAGCAGACGTGACTGTTAAAGGTGTAGTTCACTTTTAAAAAAACTTTTGCTGATAATTTACTCACCCTCATGTCATCCAAGATGTCTTTCTTTCCTCAGTCGAAAAGAAATGAAGGGTTTTGATTAAAGCATTCCAGGATTTTTCATCGTCTGAAATCGTTTATAGCCCTTTGAAGCTGCACTAAAACACTCTAATTTTGACCTTGAACCGTTTGGTTCCCATTGAAGACCATTATATGGTGAAAATCCTGGAATGTTTTCAAAAACCTTAATTTCTTTTCGACTGAAGAAAGAAAGACATGGACATCTTGGATGGCATGGGGGCGAGTAAATTATCAGCAAAAGTTTTTTCAAAAGTTAACTACTACGTGGACAAAGTTCTGATATTATTGACTAATTGCAAACTACTTACAATTTTGCTCTCATAGAAGTTTCTGCAGTCCAGCAGGATTGTATCATTAATGGAGGACTGATTCTCCACAAACGCCTTCACTTCTTTGTGAAATTCCTCTGGTTCCAAGTGTATTCCTTTGTGAAGTACAACACTTGCATAAATACAAGAGAGTAGTACACACTACCGTTCAGAAGTCAGTATGATTTTTTTCATGTTTTTGAACGAAGTCTTTTTTTTTTTTTTTTTTTGCTCAGAAAGGCTGCATTTATTTGATTAGAAATACAGTAAAAACACTAATATTGTGAAATAGCATTCATTTATTTTTACTGTTAATGTAATTCCTGTGATTTTCAGCATCATTACTCCGGTCTTCAGTCACATGATCTTTCAGAAATATCAGACTAATTCTAATATGCCGATTTGATTCTAAAGAAACATTTCTTGATATCATCAATATTGAAAACAGCAGAGCTTTTTAATATTTTTGTAGAAAACTTTGGATTTTTTGATAAAAAAAACAGCATTTTCTTAAAATAGAAATCTTCTGTAACATTATAACTGTCACTTCTGATCAATTTCATGCATTCTTGCTTCTTGCATTTCTTTAACTTTAAATTATATATATATATTTTTCTGACTCGAAATGTATGAATGGCAGAATAAATACAAAATAATTACAGATTTATGCAAATTTTTAAGAAAGACACACTGAATATACAACTGTTCTATGTATCAAGCCAGTTGTAAGTCTTACCAGCCAATCTGTAGGAGATGATATCGGGATCTACACCCATAGGGACAATTTCTTTGTAAACGCCAACCTTCAGATCAGAAAAACACTCTGCACCTCCAGCACTTTTCTGCCGGAAAAGTCAATGATGTGCATAGGTGATTTTAGATGCTTTTTAGACACTTTAGATCTCATCTCAGCCCACTTAAAATCGAAAATTCCCTTAACTAGAGGTCCTAATCAAATTTAAAGTTTGTTCAACTAAGTATATCAGGCTCTATATCCTCTATTGAATGAAATAAAGAGCAAACAACTTATAACCTTATAACAACTTGTAAGACACATTATTCTAATACTAAACCACATTATCGTATAGTGGAAATCCCACAATCTCAGATCTCAGGTTATGAGCATTGTTTAGATTCAGTTTGTCTCTTTTGTGCACCTTATCAGTGTTATTCTGGACAGTGGCAATTGCTTTACCTTGAAATCCTGTACTTGCATTATTTTGAAAGATGGATGTGACAGCATTGCTGTGACGTAAAGATTAGTGGCGGTTTTGGTTCCCCCAACTGTACCATTGATACCCTCTGTAGCTACTCGTATCTGTGGAAGAACAATCTCAATCACTTAAATGAAGTACAATAAAGGTCTTGTATGGATTTTTATTAGTGACTGATTTGTGGTTATTTACCTTGCCTGTCATGTGAAATTTTGAACAAAGCTCTTTCTGCCACTGACAAATCATATGAGGATCATTTAAATGGCAGTAGCAGTAATAGAGCAGAACTTCACCTGGACCCCTAGAACAGATGAACTCCATTAAAACCATCAATCCTCACATAAGCAGAGCAGAATATATATCAGAATTAACAATGCACCTACTTGATAAGGTCCTCCTGTTGAACATGGCTTGTATCAGGGATCCAGGATGAGACATCTGTTGATTCATCATTATTGGACTCTTCTATCGAGTCCTCGCTGCGAGCCTGCCGAAGCATCACGTCCAGCGTCTCAGTGGTCAGCTGGTGAATCTCTCTGGCATGGTTGTTGGAAACATGTTTGTGGATTGATGATGGCTCTTTGAATGACTGTCCACAACAGAGCCAAAGAGCTGGTGAGGTGTTTTCACAGGTTGGAGGACATCTCTTGGAAGCCACAAATGCTGCAAACGTCTAGACACAATGGAGGAAAAAAGTATCGATATTAAAGGGATAGTTCATCCAAAAATAAAATTTCTGTCATCATTTACTCACCTTCAAGTTGTTTCAAACTTGTATGAATTTCTTTATTCTTCTGAACACAAATGAAGACATAATAGTATGAAAAAAATACTATGGAAGGTGGTTACCGACATGTTTCAAAATATCTTCTTTTGTGATCAGAAGAAGAAATACATCTTTGTTTGTAACGACTTGAGGCTGAGTAAATGATGACAGAATTTTTATTTTAGGGTGAACTATCCCTTTAAACACAGCAATCGTCATTATATCAGTAACTTAAAATGATCACTACACTCACCCTTTTCTTGACATAAGAGTACAGTTTCCTTGTTGATGAAAAGTCCGGTTTGTCTTCTTTATGGACTTCTGGAGCAAGACTCTCAACATCCAAATCAACAAGCACATTTGCCATTGTGATATTGCCGTCCAATGATTGTTTATGTGAGAAAATCAACCATTAACATTCACTGTCCTGTTATTTTTAAAAACAAAACGTCATGCTAAAATGTCTCATATAAAGCATTTTCATTGTCGTCAGCCCCCTGGACCGATTGATAAATACCACTGACAGGTTAATAAAACTGAACACACAAGAAGAAAACTAAACGTGCATTCCTGTCTGTGAGGAGAAGATGAGTCGCAACAACCGGTGTCCGATTCTTGAGCGAATCATTCTTTTGAGTCGGATCTTTTAATGGAATCATTTATTTTGTTCATGCTTTTCTTCAGATTGCATGCCAGCTTTAACAACCCACACATTCTAATTGGTTTCGCATTTATTTAAAAATATGTAAAAAAAAATAAAAATAAAAAATAAATAAATAAAAACATATCATAAGTAATAACAATATTTTTATTGTGATAGGTTCTAAAATAATCTGTATCAGATAAATATAGCCACAACCAACTGAATTGGGAATCGTAAAATTACTCCATTTAATATATCTTATTATAAAAACAAATTTAAAGCATGTTTTTTACTCTTAAATAACAATTAACATTATAAACTTTTTTTAGTCCATGGAAACGAACTGCTCAAAAGAACCGACTTGCTGAAATGAATCGGACTTTTTATCACGAGTCGCAACAATACACGTGTTTCCGGTGACGCCGATGCTAGGCCGGATGTGTTCTCCTTAAATCAAACCGCTTTTATTTTCCTAGTGTGGCTAACGGCTGATTTCAATCAAAGCTACAGGCTTTACTGAACTCAATTCAGTGGATATATAACATTTTGAAAAAGTGTGTTCTTTGCGTTTCTTTCATACTCTTTCAACAGTCTAAATATTAAACTTGAGAAAATAATGTCCAGGCGAAGGCACAGCGATGAGGGTGATGGTGAGTGCTTAGCGTGTTAGCATGCACGTTGACAGAGATGTGTGTGTGTGTGTGTTTATGCAAATTTCATATTGTGTTTTTTTGTTTGCTGTTGTGAGTCCGAATGCATTACTTGCTCACTATAATATGGCAGCCGAAGGGTGTAGTGTTTGGATTCTATATGTCTTGTGTATTTGCATTAAGTACATTTGCATTTAGAAAAAGCCAATTAAATGTTACTTTTTAAGCAGACAGAAGGGTACAGATAAACATAGCTCTTTGAACTTGTTTATAATAATACCCTAATCTCCTTTAAAACATAATGACAATAGTACGATTGGATCTATTAGGATTGGTTCTGTATTCCGTTATTCCAGCACATCCTGTACCTTTTTTGCTCCTTGTTATACTTTGTGTTTCTCAATACCATGTCATTGCACGTTATATAACTTTTATTTAGCATTAAATATTTATATTTTACCCTAGTACAGCCTCATTGCAATAAGGCATCCCT